AGATCTTTTATCTAATAATAATATTTCGAATTTTTTTAAATTAATAATGCTTAGAATTTTGCAATATTAACATTGGGAAGCTTCCTAGGAAAGAGGAGCTCCCTCTCAAATTCGAGAGTTTCGATTCTAATCGACTTTAGATTTTATTTACGCAAGCAGTCGATCCTCTCGAGATATACAGTGTGTCATAATGTTTTTTAGAACCAGAACATGCGGTTAAGAATTATGTACGTGACAAGGACGAGAGAAACGATCGAAATCAATCAACGACTAAATTAACGAGAATCGAAAAATGCAAGGAATGGTTGGTGGACGTATCGATTCCAACAACGTCGAGCGATTATCTTTGGGATGATTTCATTAAAAACAATCAGAAGGATATCGGGAAATACCTTGCACCGGCCGGTAACGAGCAGAAATCAGCATCGAAGAAGCGTACGAGCAGCGAAGATGAAGAAGGTATTGAAATATCAATATCTAAATTTCGCCTAAATAAAAACGTACATTAATAAAACTTATGAACGGCAGGTGAACGTTCTACGATCCAAAGTATCTACGATCCAGAAGAAAGCTTTCATTTCGAAAAGGTTGAGCAAGCAAAGTTGCGTAAGGAGATGGGCATCGTGCGTGGATGTTGGGACAAATCTTTGCAGAAATGGGTTCGATTTTACGACGTGTACGACTTCCCCGCGGCGGAAGACAAGTTCAAAAGGCGAATCACTTTGAATCAGTTCCTTCAAAAATGCCGAGACAAGAAAAGACGTTTGGAGGAGGCGGAATCTAAATGTTCAGAAAATGTCAAAGAAAATATCGAAGGAAGTGGCAAGAAGAATTTGAGCTCAAATAACAGGGGGGAAAAGAAAAGAAAACACGTCGAAGATGTTCAATTTGAACCGAAGAAATCTAGAGGAACGATGACAGACATATCGGACTCAGAATTGCAAAGGATAAACAGAGTTCGTCAATTTGCATCGCGATTGAACGCGAGGAGAAAGATGATACTTGATACGACTTCAGCCTCGACTTCGAAAAATACTGAATCTCATCGTGGTATATCCGCGTTGAAAAGGATAAATGAGAATGATGATGATGAAGATGAAAGAGTAGTGAAACCTACAAGAAGCAAACCTACGATCAAATCGATACAAATACTGACAAAAGGAACATTTATAAGACACAAACGATAATAGAAAAAGTCTTATAGATAGTATTAGAAATGCGTTTATTTATAAAATTGTTTACTTACAATTGAAGAGCATTCATTTTCATTACATTTTCAAAATTGTGAAAATTCTGAAGATTGTAATTTTTTTTTTTTTTGTAAATTGTATACCATCTTTCTGATTACACGAAACGTTGAATTTTTGTTGCGTAAATATATTGTATGTACTTACACGTATGTATTGCTCGATTCGGGAAGAAATACAACACACAACATTCATACTCATGTGTATTAAAGTATTTTTCCGTTTCTTCATTTTTTCCGAAATGGCAAGTGCAAACGTAGTTGGGATGTACTGCATTAAAGTTAAACACATTGCGAAATGTATGCACAATATAAAAATATCGCCGAAGAGGTTAAGACGCAATAAGCGGTGCGTGTGTGCGTCGCGCTCCGGAAGTTTTTCTGAATTTTGATGGCTGAATTCCCTAGAATTTCTTAATTATCTACAACAATGAAGATGTCGCGGGAGAGAATTTACCCCATCGTCGTATCGTTTTAACTTTCGGATCGTGTTGTAAATTACTAATAACTTGGTTATCTCGCGAGAAAAATAATCACGTGTTCTCAAGTTTGTCCATCCTTTTTCCTCTTAGAAAAACGTCAAAATAAACGACGTCTGCATCGTCGGTATGAGTTTGTTTTTTGGCTTTATACGCAACATGTTTCTCACGATACTGGAGTTGGTTTGGTTCGGCAAACGAAAATTAACAAATTCTTTGAGTATATACGTGAAGACCAACACTGGCAATACGTTCCCCGTTGACTTGGACCCAAAATGGGACATAAAAAACGTGAAAGAGATAGTGGCATCTCAAATGGGGATATTACCTAAGGACATAAAAATAATATTTGCAGGGAAAGAGCTGCACAATTCGACAATAATAGAAGTGAGTTTGCACATATTTTCATAGATAACCTGTTGACAATGTATACTTTTGAAGTACCGAACAGTTACAAGTGTCATAACCTCACTTTATCAAAGTCTTTGTTGTAGGAATGTGACCTGGGTCAGCAGAGTATATTGCACGCAGTTCGTACACCGTCGCAGAGATCGAATAAAAGCAAGGATACCGACATCATTGACGAGTGTCTAGAAATATCTGAATTGAACGACAGCGGTGGAAAACCGATGAACGAAACTCTTACCGACTTACCTTTGGATGAATCAGAGCCACAAGACAATTCATCCGTAGAAGGTAGAATAATTGTTGCCTTTTAAAGGATGAAAGATACAAGTGATGAAAGTGAATACTAAATAAACGTGACCAACTAGCTGTAGCTTTATGTCAATAATATATGGAATTGACGTTTGCAGAGAAACATGAGAATCGAGCACATTTCTTTGTATATTGTTCAACACCATGCAAAGCTGTAACAGTTGGAAAATTAAGAGTAAGATGTGCAACCTGTAACAGTGGGGCAGTTACAGTAGATAGAGATCCTCAGTGTTGGCCAGATGTATTACAGCCAAGGAGAATAACGGTTCATTGTGAAAATGATTTTTGTCCAGTACCTACGCATATATCCAATGATACTGAGTCCCAAGTATTGTATGCGCGTTTTTATTTCAAATGTGGGAAACATGTTAGTTTGGGAGAGGGGGATGAAGCTGTTCCTTTGTACCTTATAAAACCAAACTTAAGAAGGATACCTTGTCTTGCCTGTACAGATGTTAGGTAAATTATTTGTTGATCTTCTTTATCAGCAAAAGCATATAATAACATTTTCAAACATAGGTCGTTTATAGGGATATGGTCTTGGTTTTCCCCTGCGAAGCTGGTCACGTAACCTGTCTTGATTGCTTTAAAGACTATTGTTCAGTTCGTTTAAGGGAACGCCAATTTCAGTTTGATGAAATTAAAGGATATTATACGCTTCCATGTCCAGCTGGATGTCCAAACTCTTTTATTCCAGAAGTACATCATTTTCATTTGCTTACATCTGAACAGGTACCTTATAACGAACGAGTACATAAATATCAAAAAATTTTTAAATATTAATTGTATATACATGTATGATATAGTATGAACAGTATCAAAGATTTAGTACAGAAGAATATGTTCTACGTGCTGGTGGAATTTTATGTCCAAGACCAGATTGTGGTATGGGTATTATACCAGAATCTTCAGACAATGGTAGTGAAGAATGCAGAAAAATTCAGTGTATTGGTGGTTGTGGGGTAATTATGTGTAAATAAAGCATTCTGAAAATACAAAATTTTTAATTAATTAAAATATCAATAATATACTTTTATGTCTAGTATGTTTTTTGTAGACGATGTTTACAAGGCTTCCATTTAGGAGAATGTGAATTGCAACCTTCCGAGTCTTTCAGTACAACGCACAAATCTGGATATCTAGTCGATCCACAAAGAGCTAACGATGTATGTGATATTACTCTTATATTATATATATTAATCAGAAATATTATTTTATGATTTTCTTGTTTAGGCAAAATGGGATGAAGCCAGTAACAAAACTATCAGAATTTCAACAAAACCCTGTCCAAAGTGTAGGACACCAACTGAAAGAGATGGTATTTTAAAATGTTAAAAAGTAATATTAGAATGTTTAATTAATTTTTAAAACACGTATGTTACTTTCCAGGAGGATGCATGCACATGGTTTGCACCAGAGCGGGCTGTGGTTATCATTGGTGCTGGGTATGTCAGACAGAATGGACAAGAAACTGCATGGGCAATCATTGGTTTGGATAATTTTCTAACTATTTATATAATAAGAATATAGTATATTATTTTGTATAAATATAAATAAAATAGAAGAATTAAAAATACAGTCATAATTACTATCATGAATTATACTAGTCAATTGTACTAATACTAGTCAATTCAAGATAGTAAGTGGAAATAAATTCTATAAAGTTTCGAATATATTTTGAAATAAGGAATGACATTTTAATGTTTCTTTTCATACTATGTATTTTTTTGTAATCAGATGTGTGAATCATTAATTTATTAAAATTTTTTCATTTAGTTTGTAAAAATTCCATGTATGAGCGTAACTAATAGTCATTGTATATGTATGTATATAACAATTGTGTATTTAAATTTATATATAAATCTTTGAACGATAAATGTAAAAGTGCCTTCTCTTCGTTCTATTTAGAAAAAAAATATATATATATACATGAGCATTTATTTGTGAATAAATTATCGTACATCACGATACAACAAATCACCTTGTGACTCAACTCTTTGTATTATAGAGGAAAATATGTAGAATGATATGTACATACGTTTACTGTATTTTATTATAACAATCACGTTATCTTTAGTATACATATGACCTAAAAAGCATTTAAGACACGACTTTAGGACGGATTCACTTTTCAGAAATTGACATTGGGTCTTTTAATTTGATAATTACAAAATACGTAACGTAATTTAACAATCTGTCAGATTAATCAATATCTGTTGTTTTTATATTTTCATTCGCGTTTCTATTTCTAACATCTATATACCTATCTCAGTAATCTTCAGTTACTTTTATATACTTAAATATATATATACGTGTGCGTGCGTGCGTGCGTCCTCGTCCAAGAGGATCCTGATTTGATACGACTTTGATCGTACTTGGTCATCTAGTTATTAAAACGAATGTAGAAGTTGTCGAGTAGCGGCTGCATACTTTAAACGAAAGTATCATCTGTATCACATGCGGGAATCAAATCGCCGTAGTCTGCGGTGCAGGCGGTGGTGTCAATGGGGTCCAGCCGGTCGCTTGATGATCGTTGCTCGGAATGTCCGAGTCTTGTCGGTGATGTCTGTCAATCACCGTTGTCAGATATCTCCTGTTCTCATCCGTCTGCACGTCGTTCAACGTGTCTGCATTTTGCTCAGAATAACTGACCGGTATGTGATGCTCCTTCGAAGGTGTGTCGTACTCGACGCTAACGGGCGACACTGTTCCAGGTTGTTGGATCGGCTGCATGTGCAACATGTGGGAATGATGCTGCTGCTGCTGCTGCTGCTGCTGCTGCTGCGAGTGACGATCAGGTGTCGTCGATTGAACGGGAGAGGCGTGATGATACTCGTGAACGTACTCGTCGACAGCCGGTGGCACAGCGTCCGTTCCGTTCGAGTGGAGAGAATGGTGCAAGCCTGTGTGAGGAACCGATGCGTAAGATGACATCTGATGATGCAAATGTAAGTTCAGATTCAAGTAAGACTGTTGCTGCTGCTGTTGCTGTTGCTCCGACAATGTTGCAGGATGAATCCAAGCCGAGGTGTCGGTGCAATGCTCTTGGGGTACCGAGGAGGACAAGTTTGAGGACGGCACGTACAACGTGCATCCTGTGGCTGTGGTTGGGGACGCAGTGCCAACGACTCCTCTGCTGAACACCGCGTGCGAGGACGAGGTTGGCGACGGCGAGGGGGACGTGGGCCATTCCTGCGTGGGTGGTAGACAAGCTGGATTTAAGTTCTGCAGGCTTTCTGGGCTGCGTGGCGACCAGCCTGGCGCCGCTACGTATGCCGTGGAATGTAACAGTTGCACCGAACCGTACGGGTCTGCGCGTTGTTCTGCAAACGATCATTCATAACACATGATTTGTACGTTTGAGTGTAAAAAATTGAGTGTATAATTAATGATATTCTGAGCGGAGCTGACAAGACTCACCATCTTGAATGTATTTGTGTCTGAGAGTGTAAGGCGTTGATCTGCAAGTAGTCCTGTGGCCAGCTGTAGAAACGGTACAAGAATTAGAGAGATGATTATTGACCGTCACTGACGCTTGATTTTGTGCGGCCGCAATGGCCGTAGCTGTGTTATATTCGTATCCCATGGTAGGCTGTGGCAAAAACCAAGCGCCCGTGTCTGTAATCCATAATTCGATATCCTCTTAATAAATCTTTTATATCAATCACTAATAGTAATATCGTCGATTGTGTTCGGTCAGAAATTTCAGGATATGCAACAACTATGGTGTAATTCGTAGCCGATTAACTCACATTGCGGATAGGTTTGCGGATCGGCCGGTCTCTCCTTAGCGTCGAGGAACGCCTTCGCGAAAGGATTGTATTTAATCTTCAAATTTGTAACTTCTTCGTTCTGGTAGGCCGTCACCGCTATGAATTGTGTCTCGGGATAACGGTAAGTCAATACCTGAATATCATTTCCATATTAAAATACTCTCCAAACACACACACACACACATGGCACGAATTAAAATTACAATTTTCCTTTCCTTCGTCTCTTACTTTTATAAATATTTCAGTACGTCACGGTGAATTATTATAAACTCTGGAGGAATTTAGAAGAAATGTCGTACCGTTCGTTCTTCCACCGCGTCCACGCGTACCAGATGAACTCGAGGTTCGTATTTGTGCAGGGAGTTTAGCATAATTTGCCCGTTCCCGTTGGATTTGTTCGTCAGCTTCACTTTGGCGAACGACACCGCCTCCTTCATCCAGTGTGAACCAAAATTCGGACTCTCGGGATGGATGTAAATTGGATTTGGCGGGGCGACCTCCGCTTTCCCGCCTGGCACCCATTCTCCATTCACGTATTTCCATCTATCATGAAAATTTCGAGCAACGTTCAAGCTATTATACTGTCTGCCTTCTGTGTAATCAAATTCTATAAACGGACATTTCTATTCTAGGTGAGTAAAGAAAGAAAGAAAAAAGAAAAGTATTGATAGCAGAAATGAAATTCTATTCCAAGTGTCATTCCTACCTGTGTGGATCTACTTGGACGAATTCAAGAAGTAGGGTGTACATGGCTTTCGGCTCCAAGCCCCTTGCAACCACTTTGACCACGGGAAACATGCGCCTGGAAGTGAAATCGAAGATACAGATGAAGCCTCGACTATAATGGCCCCTCACGTTAGGATTTTTATTAGTTGTCTCTGCCTTTGTCTTTATCTAAGTTTGGTTCTTTACGGTACCAGCTACCACAGGGACGTTTTGTAAAACGATAACGAAAGAAGAAGAAGAAGAAGAAGAAGAAGAAGAAGAAGAAGAAGATGTCTCTTCTGAGAGGAGCAGGGATTTTATAAACACTAATGAAAGTAACACTGAAGGCGGCGGGCAGCAGAAGAAGCCGAGCCGCCGGGCAATAAAATTTTACGATTTTAGCCACGATCCTGCGTAGAACATTCTCTCTTCCTCTGGTTTCTCGTCTGCCCAGTCGAATACTGATGATGGCCGTGCACGAAAAACGCGGTCGACAAACTGTAATCGTTTTCAATAATACACGGAATCATAAAAGCAGTTGTGGCGAATATCTTTTCATCTACCGGTCACGAAGGAATATCGAAGTTATATTTTACTCGATTTCTGCTCGCCTCCCGAATCGAATTATTTTTCATACCAACGAACATTAGATCTGATTGTCTATCTGAAATGAAGGATAAAAATCCTCCAATTGATCGAATGTTAATCAAGTCGTGGAATCGGAGAACAGAAGAGGGAAAACAAACGAGATACTTTAGTCGAGGAAAAAGAAAAAATATTTGTCATCGATCAAGTTTTCGTTTGTCAATTTGCAATCGATGCAAAAGAGACTGCAAATACAAATAGTCGGTTGAATCGCAGATTAAGACTTCTCTGCGTGTATTTTTTTTTTTTGTCGAAGCAAGCGTGGAATATTCATTTGCATGAATCATCTACATCCTCGTAACGTTTTGCAATGTTCTTTCTTATTTTTTTCTTTTTTTTTTCCATTCTACGAACAATATTCTTTCTTCTCTCTTTCCCTCCCCGTATATGAAACTATTATTTTTACCTTCTGGCTTGTTCGCACCGACGTTCTAATTAATACATTTTTACGCGCAAGCCACGGAGAGCCATCTTTGCCAGTCGGACCTTTTTAACCAGCTTCGATCCTTCCTTCCAGCTCTTCTTCAAACGCGAAACCCACAGATATATATATATATATATGTATATATGAACGTGCAAATGACTCGGTCCGGTCTGTCGTGTCTGTAAATCGTTCGTACTCGAAAACCCCTCGAATACTCGAGGCAATCGCCATACTTCGAAGACGTAAAGTCGTCGAATCGGACCTTCTGTTCTTCTTCTGAATTTTATATAAATTGTTTCATAGAATATTTCAATGACACGAGTACGCCGGTACGGCCGTACCACTCACCTTCCGTTCTTCGTGACGATCATTTCGTTGGTCAAGCACTGGAACTTCGTCCAGAGATCTCTGTCCTCGAGGGACAAGGAGAGAGGCAGTGCCTGATTCCCGCTGACGGTCATGGTACCGAGATTCTGCCCGGAGATCACCGTCCTCTCGTTGCTCCTCTCCTCGTGATCGTCCTCGGCAGTGGCGCGACTTTGCCTTGCGACGCTGTTCCGCTCCCTTCCGCGGTCTTCGTGCGCTTCTCTCTCGCGATCTCGTTCGCAACAGGAGGACCGTGTCGGAGAGGCAGGTGTAGCCGGTGCTGGCTGCATCTTCCCTTCTGCAATTCTCCTCTCTCGAGCAGCACACTGTTCTTCTCGCCTCGCGGGGAATTTCAATTTCGCCCCGAGAAAGAATTGAAGCAGATGGAAAAAGCTCTTCAAGCCTGACCAAGTCGCTCAGATTCAGGTTTCCTCGGTGGCTCGAAGGAGGAG